TCTCCCTGCTTCACAGCCACAGCACTAGGGGGGCACCTATTTTTATGCTGGGATGTCGTCACGTGACCTGTGATGGCGACGGTCATTGGGTTTTGGCAGCTTAAGAAGAAGAAAGAAAAAAAAACGAAAACCTTGAGATATGACCTAGTTTTACGAGTCAGAGAATACCAAGGGAGAAATGTAAGATATTCGTGACAGCTTGCAGGTTTATTAAAATAATCCTCCTTTTACTGTGGCTCGATAGCTACTGTAACTAGCCCGAAAGAAGCCAGCTGATAAAAAACACCTTACAGAAACTGTGAACGCCTACGGATGAGTTTCAAGTAGCGGGGCCCCCTCTGCACTGGGGGGGCAGTGTATTTAACAGCCCAGCGAGGAGCTCATGTCATGTTCCTCCTCTGATGTCGGTGAATGTGCCACGGCTGCTGGCAGAAGCCTGACGGCTGTGGTTCGCGCTCCTCTCTTACGGCATCGTCCAGCCACAGACCGCTAACCACCCTGACAGAAACACGACACTGAGCAGATGCTCTATAGTCTGCTATGTTCATCCGATGGGGATGCCAGATAAGGATTACCTCAATAATCGATTTAGGGAATCCCAAGGAGCTAGAAATTCTTGGCCCTCTGACAAAATGTCACCTTGGGCCCCTGTAAAGCGCTGCCCCCCCCCCCCGAATCCACCAGGGTATCCTCACCCCTGATACCAAGGCTACAGCTCAGGCAGTTTTAGCAATTCTGTGAATAAATTTTCCATTTTAGGATCTTACACCTATCTGATGATTGTCAGGTTAAATTATGTTTCTGGTGCCGTTCTCCTGTAACTGTGAAATATTTACATAAAATCTGTATATGTTTTCATCAGCATAATGATTAAGATATATAAATACCTTTGACCTACAGATGCGCTGTAGATGTAACCACATAATGTGCAGTAAAACATTGCAGACGCTCGCCGGCGTAGCTGGTCGAGCACCTCAACATCTGACAGGCTGGAGTGAGTGTCTGAGCCAAGGAATTCATTATCTCTCCCCCATGGCACCGTGCTCTATCTTATCACACATGTGACAAAGTGAGTCGTGGTGTTTGGTCCAGCCTGTATGTGGGGAGGTGACATGACACCTCATTATGTTCCCCTGCCCAGGACAGATTACCAATCACTCTCCACAGATCCTTTAGCAAAACAGGATGTGCCTTTTCGTCCCTAAACACGAGGCCTCATTGTGTAGAGACAACAAAATCCTGCTTTTCACCACATCATCAATGAACGAAACATTTCAATGGTCGATACAGAGGATGCCAAGGTACCAGGACACCCCTAAATATCTGAGAATGGAAGGCCATAAAGACAGTTTCCACAGAGGATTTGCTGAAATAAATACAACAGCATGTGCAAGCACAGACTGTGAAGGACCTTCATGTTGTCAGGAAGCCAATGGTTAAAAAGTGTTTGGATGTAATTAAACGGGCAGATTGAGTGCCGGGAAGAGGCCGGAAAAGTGCAAAGCAAAAGCAACGGTTATTACGGTGGCGGTGTTTGTTTGCCTGGCAAAGCCCCTGTCACAACGTACAGATCAACACCTCCGCATCGTCCGTTTTTACGGCGCTCATGGGTCAACAAGCCGGCGCTCTCTCTAAAAACGATGCATTCTGGCAGAATTATTTATAGCCCGTGAATTATTAAGGGACACGCCCGGACCCGCAGTGTTTATAAAAAGGGATGCTAGCGCGCTGCATCTCGTGCAAGAGCTAAAGGCACGTGACATGTGCACCATAACCTAAGCGAATGTAAATACAAATACAAACATTGTTCACGTTATGAGTTATAGCTCTGCGTTTTATTAGACTATCTTTATTCATTTCATTCATTCATATCTTTATTTATTTCATTTTAAAATCCAAGGCAGCAGCATATAAGAAATAAACAATTCATTGTGCATGACATTCATGTAGGCTTATTATCATTAGCTAATCAGAAAAAAAGTGAACTTTACCTCGGGATAAATCTACCGCAGATAATGTCCATAACACATTCTGAACTACGTATAATTCACATGAAATTAAATCATTTTCGAAACGTACTATTTACCTACTATGTCCGCCTTTCGCTTAAATCTAAATATGCATGTTGTGTTAGCATATAGCTTTAAATGAAACTTGCCTGTAATGTTAGAATTTACATTTATCTTAAAATGTACTTCCTTTGCTTCCTTTCGGCTTCAACCAACAGCGTCTGGCCACAGACCTCACATCTCAGCCCATCTCCATCATTATATACCGGCACGGTTCACTGATTTCATGAAAGTGTGGAGGGGATTTTAACATAAATAATTAAGGTAACATCACCAAAGAAAAGTGATCTGTGCAAATTACAAAACCTCATCTTTACTGTTGTTCCGGCACAGCGTACATTTAAGGTTTTTTATGCATCAAATAATCCATCAGTAACGCGAAGCGATATAACATACACAACGTGGGATTTTACTTGCAATATCACCCCGGCACAGTAGGAGGCGATAATGGTTACAGTGCCAGCTCTTGCCTGGCTCCTCGGCCCGGTGTTACAGGAGAGATGGCAGCACAGATGAGACTCTTCTCACTTAACCTGCAGGGCATCTGCCTCGTTTGCACTCTATAGCCAGCTCCTCGTCGTGGTCTCACGCCTTGGTCCTGAGCCGTCCCTACACTACTGCGCACCTCCTACCCAGCTCCACCTGGCTACTCCCTCGGATAAATCTTTGCCGCCCACCTTACCCTCTGCTTAGGCTGTTTATTCCACACCTCACTTCCACTGGCTTACTGCTACCTTCATCACTCTTGCTCCTGTCGTGCCTTCAGTTCCTGGGCACTGGAACAAAGAGCACATCATACCTGCACGGCAGCTGCGGCCGCTGCCTTGTGCTCTGACTGCCCACCAAGCAAAGGTCTGCTGTCTATGTTAACATTTTACAGTTTAGTACGTATACAATTTAGTTCAGATATATTAACGGCCAAGTCTGTAATCTGCTTGTTATAGCAAAGACACACTAGTTTTCCACTACATTTCGATCATGTACTGAGAAGAGATGTTATGTATTTCCCTGAGAGCTGCATTATCTACAAATAACACCGTTTTCTATTTCTGCGTGACAAGCAAGATGTGGCATGCTTTGTAATATTTCGAGGTGCCAGGTTTTTTTAACTGCTAAATAAGGTCCTTTACGTTTCAGTTCAGGAGACTGTAGACGTGTGGAAGCAGACTTGCTGAAAAACCTTAATGTGGGCAGAGTGAACGCATACAGTGATTACTCTAAACAAGATAAGGGCCGCCTCACAAAGCAATAATACAAACCCCAATTAAGAAGCGCCAAGAATAATTCAACTTCATTTCAGGATATGTACTTTAAAAAACGAGGCTCTCCATTCAAATATACAGGTCGCGTGATTGAGTAATTCCTATGCAATATTATATATTTTGTTATATAAATAAATTGTACCTCCCTACTGCAGCATCACCGCCACCCACGCCATCTCTCCGCCTGCTTGTAATGACTCTCGGAAGACCGAAGAGTGGGCAGTCCCAGAGTCTCAAAGTCCCACAACTTGGCCAACAGCATCAGTGACTCACTCGTGCCCTTGAAATCGTGTGTTATATATTGTAAAAATAAAATAAAATCGACCCTATTGACACGAGTAACAAAACAGATACTGCAGTTTACGATTACTTTATTAATGAAATTTAATCAAGGTACTTATAGTAATTTGGCAGCAATTTTTGCCAATATTACAACCTTGACAACTGCAGAAATATAACAGAACAGAAACTGATTATTTAGCTTATTTGATTATTTATTGCTGGTAGTTTTATTTTGTTTTTTTATGTTGGTTTGTTTTACGTAAAGCATTTTGGTTACAGTACTTCTGCTGTTGTTTTAAATGTGCTATATAAAGAAATTGACATTGACATTAATGATTATGGGCATCACAGGATTATCGTCCTCTGATGCCAACAGTAGCATTATAATAATAATAATAATAATTATTATTATTATTATTATTATTATCGTTGTTGCTATTATAATAATAATTATTATTATTATTAGTTATAAATAATAATACAAGATAATGTATATATCTGTGGTAAGTTGCCTATTTCATATTTCTGCATATATGAAGTACTTGCAGGCTCAGACTTCCGTGCTCCGTCTCTATTAGGCGTTACGGCGCAGTCCAACCTCCTGCACTCATCCTTGCTCGTTGCGCCATCAGCGGATGTATTGCAATGGATTGCGTCTCCCTCCGTTGTACGCGCACTGTAGGCTACTATAGCCGCTCAGAAGCGCAGTCCGCACTTTGGCGGTCCTGTCAGCTAAATGATATTCAAATAAATGATGACACTGCTGCTGCCATTATGTCATAGTGAAGTTCATGGGGAGCAAACAAGTGACACCTAGGATTCGCTGTTACTGTACTTTGCCAATAAAATATTACACATTGTATATTCTATATATGCTATATATGTCCTTACCTTGTTGTTTAATATGTAATCATATCATACGCTGTTTTAACACATAGTTTCGTAAACAGAACAATACAAAAATAAAACATAATTATATGTATAATAAAAAATAATTAAATTAATGTATTATATATACATAATTTATGTATATATATTTATGTATATCACAATATCACAGACACACACATACACACACACACACACACACACACACACATATATATATATATATATATATATAAATATAACGAAAATGTATAAATGTCAATAATTTAACAAGTACCCAGCACTATTCCGTCTCGATGACAATACACGACGCACATTCAATCACTCACGCGCTACATTAGCAATTAGATGAATCGTCATCCATCTGTTTTTATAGGACCCACACTGCACTGCGAGAATACAACCTACAGTCGTCACAAAAACAAGCACCCCGGCCGTACTTTTTGACTGCGACCCCAAAACATACGTCGGATTCAAAGACAGCTCTTGAAATACCTACTGATGTCTGCCGATGGAGGTCTAGACGCTTTCAAATGCGCTTGCAGTGGCCGGCGGTGGATAGACTTGGCGCTGCGCTGATAAAATCCCCCCGTGAGCCACGCTTGATTGCGGTATCATAAGAATGAACGGCCTCCGCATTGCCGTGCCGCTGTCATCACTTACACGGGAAGACTCGAGGACCGTCCCCTGAAGGCGCGTCGTGAGCAGCTAGCCACGCCCATTTAGCACTCTAGGGCACGCCCATTCCTACGTCAACTGGCTTGTGATTGGTCAGCTCTCCAATCCTTACCCCCCCCCCCCTCCGTGTCACGCCTATGTCCGCCTTCATCACCGCCCAGTGATCAGGCTGTGATCCACACCTTCCTATTGATTCCTCCGCACGAAATTCCCAGTCCGTTATGTCGTGCACAGTAATATTTATATTTTATATATCTTCTTCTAGCTACCGCTTACTGAAACACTAGGGCTGTTGGGGATAAAACATCTATTATCTGGTACATACCAGCTTTCTTGTTTTTCTTATCGAACTAGCCCTGAAATGGAAAGCGGTAATACTGATAAGCAGTTGCTGACTCCCCCCGTGAGTATTGGCAGGGCTGCAGTATTAATGAAATGCTCATCTTGATTAAGCAAAACAGGAATGGAGCATTTCAGTGGCTTCTCTTGGGCCAGTCCATGCCTGGCCTCCCACCAAAGTCTTCCGCGCTAAGGCAGAAGCCCCGATTATCCAGGCTACCGGGACAGTCTCTGACCCCTACAGCTGTCCCTCACTGGAGGACATTTATAATGACAGACACTAATGCAAGACTGGGGAGGCTGATTCTGCAGTAATATACCAAGTGTCACACTTGCATTTTCAAAATATCTACGCTGAAGCTGCTTAAAGCAGCTTACATGGGACGAACACAAAGGAAGATGGAAGGTTGGATATGTGCAAATGTTCGGGAATGTATCATGATATGAAATTTGGGAAGATATCTATTAAATGTGTCCAAAAACAGAAAATGTGATACGGATGTATTCCCAGGGTGCAATTCTTCCTGCTGTCCACCTACCTGACAGTTAGGAAGACGCCGAGGATTACAAACCAGAGAGGCTGTGACCTCATCCAGAAATATATTGCAGAGCATACGCTCTCAGAAAAGAAGGTAAAAATTTGTACCTTTGCTTGTCACTGGAGCTGTACCCTTGTAATGGTACCTTTTAATATACAGAAATGGACTCTGAGGAACATCCCAAAGGTACAAACAGCATTAATGTACCATCAATGGTACAGAAATGTTCCTTAGAATCTTTTACTGTACCTTAAATTGTAAAATTACCTACAGCTAGGGTACAATTGGCAGACCCTTGGAGGTACACTTGTATGGAAAGCCAGTGACAAGCGGAGGTACAGATTTTTACCATTTTTGTGTATAGCAGCCCTGCATATGACAAGCAGGTATAGAAAATGGATGGATATGTGGATGGATGGATCGGTAAGTATATGGATGGATGAAGGATGGGTGGGTATATGGATGGATGGATGAATGGGTGGGTATATGGATGGATGGGTGGAGGGATAGATGGGTGGGTATATGGATGGATGGGTGGGTATATGGATGGATGGATGGGTGGGTATATGGAACGATGAATGGGTGGGTGGGTATATGGATGGTATATGGATGGATGGATGAATGGGTGGGTATATGGATGGATGGGTGGATGGATAGAAATAATTTTTTCCTTAATAAATATTTTATTTTCTCTATAAAACATAGTGATTATATAATTTAGGTAATTTTCTTTGGCAATATATTTATTTGTTTAGTTTTTGTCCAAAGTGATGTACTAGTGATACAAATAACTGGGAATTAACTCAAAAATAATAGCCGAGCAACTGCGGCTGTCAGTGGGGATATTAGTGGCAAGGAGGTGCAAAAAGTGAAGACGATGTATTCGGGGAAAAATATCCATTCAGCTGTTATGGACGGTGAATGGATGGATTATCGTTTGTTTAAGTGCCAGCTAAACAGCTACAAGTAGGAGGCTGCTTTTAAACGCTCAGTATCTGAATGATTCATTAAAGCCAATTATCTGCACAAGTATCATTCTTCAGAAGGTTATGCAAACACTTCAAACAGAATCGCCTGAACCCAGAGCATGTGGCACATGCAGAATTACATTATCTGGACTTTTCCGGAAGTTATTTTATAATTTAAAAACAAAACAAAAAAGCAGGACATTTTACTTATATTTTTAGCCTCTACTTACGACGTGAATTTCTGTTATCATCCCAGCATATGGTATTAGTGTGTCATGCCAACAATTACTCTAATTAAAAATGATTTAATCAACTAACAGTGTGTGCAATGCCACCTCATATTTACAAGACTATTAAATTAAAGACAAAGGAACACGCAACACTTTCTTTCATTCATCTTAGAAGAAGCTACCTAATTCACACCCACAATTAAATCACTCTGTCGCACTTGTATGGAAAGCCATGTTTCATAACGGCCAGTTACCGATGCTGGTGGTTTGTGAGTACGGTGGGAGGACGTGAGGTAGGGTTAGCGTTCTGCAGAATTAGATATGTGACATCAGAGCCAGAAATCACAGCATGAGTGAGCCGGCAGAAAGTCGGGGGGGGGGGGGGGGGGCACTTCCATAAGCATTTACTGGGGGTCAAAAACACACTACAGACTCAACTACATATTTTTATCAGCTCTTGAATGACCCATGGCATTAGACCAAATGAACAAAGAGAAAGAAAGAAATATAATTCTATACTATAATTTTATAATAACTCGATTATGTGATGTGAGGCTGCAAACACATCAACCGGCAGCAGTCAAACCATCAAACCATCTGAGGAGGGACATGATCCAGGTCTATAAGATTCTAACAGGTTTGGATGCTGTTCAACCAAATGGTTACTTCAGCATTAGTTCAAATACAAGAACTTGTGGCCATAGGTGGAAATTAGCGGGAGAACATTTCAAACTGGATTTAAGGAAGCACTTCTTTA